AAAATATTTACATCCGAACGCGTCAAATCCCATTGAACTCAATGGTAAATGACCCAATGTTTTGGTCACCACGTAGGGATCGCCGGTGCTTCAGAGCAGGGTACGGGGGAACTTGTTTAGGGCAACTCCATCTTACTTCCTACCTCCATGCTATCTCATGATATCCTGCAGATCGTATTACTCTTCTTACAGTTTCTATATTTATACATATTCCGTATAATTCAAAAAGTTCTGGAACAAGTTTAGAGGCACTCAATCTTGGATTCTTTTTATATTCCGTAGAATAAACTTTTCATTCCATTAGATAACTTCGATGATCTTCTAGGTCTTTTGTTATGAATGCGATTCTATATTTTATAACGCTTAAAAATATCGAAAACTGTAGAATCACTTAAATTAAGTAAATAGGCAATTTTTAATAGGTTTCCCTTTCTTTTGAGGCAAATCATAACTAATCTGCGGGTTTCTAACGATGGTCTCTTTCGTGACCGAACCATCGCAAGAAAACATTAAAATAACGAATATTTTCTAAAAGGAAAATTCGAATTATACAAGCAAACGATTTTTAGATTTTTGCCTAGCATCTTTATCCAAACTAAAACCATAAGATATCTTTTTTTATTTATTGCAGACGATTTTAATAAGAAATTATGAAAATATCAGATTAATTTTGTGTTATTTTTTTTTTTTTTCCCATTTTAGCCTAAAACGTTATTTTTTTAAAATTACTATTTAATTTTTTCAAATTTATTTGGTATAAAGGGAGAATACTTTAAATACGATATGTATTTAAAGTATTCTACATTATTTTCTTTCAAAGCTTTTCTCCTATTACTTAAAAAAAACAATAATAATTATAGCGGGCTTTCATTTTTCTGAGACAATGTATATAAGGTTGCTGAATGTATTTAAGAGAAACCTGCACTTGTTTGCCTACCAAATGAATATAGTCTGGGACTAAAATCTACGCCAAACACAAATTATTGCGTTGTCTAATTTTATGCTTTACTTGGACGTGTTTCCTCAAAAGCCTGGCCTGTTGTTAGCCTACTTTTACCGACTCTGATTATTTCTCAAGTGAATGTGTCTGTAAATACAGAAGAGATTTTTTGCATTATTTTCTATTGCAAGTGATACTGAAGAGAAAATAATTTTTTCTACGATCAAAATTGTAAAAACTGGTGTTGTCGTTTCTCATTGACGCGCTTCACTATAGTACATCTATCTCATCAGTATGTTCTTATGTGTGTCTTATGTGCAGCATTTATAGAAGCAAAGTCTCACGTTTATGTTCTGTTGTTATTTTCTTTTATTGCACTTTATAATAAATGTAAAGGGATAGTGAATAACTTAAACACGTCTGTTATATTTCTGTATGTTTCTCTATACGACTCAGGGAAACATTTTTATGACTTTCGAAATGCATTTTAAACTTGACTTTGAAATGCTTTTTCAAACTGAACTTTTTTATTTTAATTAACAGTGCACAAGCGAAAATATATTTTGTTTTTATGTATTATGTGTATCACAAAATATACACTGCTTTGATGTTGCATTTATTCGAACTTTATTACCGTATTTCTAAAATTTCCAGTAAGGCTACATTAATCGGTGACCAGATGCAACCGCCTTCGCCGGGAATCGAACCACGGACCTCTGGAATACGGGCCCAGCGTGCTACCGTTACACCACGAAGACACGCTAGGGAAGTGGGAGTAATACCTTATATACTCCCCTTTTTAAAGGGCGACTAGTGTTTTAGGGGACCTAGTCACCAAATCCTGGTGCGGAGAATCATCATCCACAACCCTTTTAGTTCAGGCGCCACTTGTAGAGTCATTAGATTAATTGGAATGAAAAATATGCAACCGCCTTCGCCGGGAATCGAACCACGGACCTCTGGAATACCGGCCCCGTGTGCAGAACCACTATACTACGAAGGCTCGCCTGGGAAGTGGGAGAAATACCTTATGAAGGCATGTATGTTTGCTACAGTTATAAGGTGCCTTAACTTGTACGGTATTATTATTTTCCATTCACTAGTTATTTATAATTCAGCCTCTACTATATAATTCTGCTTTTTGTTTTCTCACCAAAAATACAAATCAGTCAGAAGAGTATTTAAGCTAAGGTTTTTGGTTTGTAAGACAGAGCGTGTTTCTGCCTCTTGAGGCCACATTATTAGGTTTCACCAGCTCTGATAAGATTGTAGTCAGTGTCTTTTTGCCGAATGAGACCAAAAATAAACTTTCAGTTTTGTGCACAGAGAAATCTGCCTTCTTGTCTGCAGGCCGAATTGCATTTTTTTCTGCGCGTAAAAACCCTAATTTTAACAGCAATTCTTTTAAAACTGTTTTAACTGTATTTAATGTTTTATGCTTTTCTGTATATTTAGTGTTTTATGCTCTATAATTTTTAACGAAGATATTTTGAGATTTTATGTATTTTCTCTTTGCCGCGAAGTCAGAACTGAATTAATTGAATGAGAAATACATCTCTAATGAAATTCGAAGAAATAAGTTTAAATGAAATGTAGGGAAAATGAGCATAACTTAATAAGCCATACAAGGAAGTCATGTAGGGTTTGTTCACATCCAGATTGTTTTTACTAATTTTATCGGACCAAAATAGCTAAAGGAAAATTACAGGAATAATTTTATTTCGAAGGACACGGTTACAAAGAAAACAGATGAAAAGTATTCTCAAATAAACTACCGGTAGCTACAAGAATATTATTTATTTAAAAAAAACTTACAATCAAGTATTGGAGCTATTTAATTATGGCAAAGCATGCAAGGGCTATCTGCCTAAGGGAAGGGATACCTTCGTTGAGGGCTAAGGGATGCTGGCTCGTATACGTTACACCATACGTACACAAGGTGTACGTATACGTTACACAAGGTGCTCGTACACGTTACACAAGGTGCTCGTACACGTTACACAAGGTGAAAAGGACCGCACGCAGCTAGCCTGTTCGCCTAGAATCGAACCCACTTTCATTCCAGTAAGAATGTATTATAATATTTAATAAAATATCTTCATTTCGACTTCCATGTGCCTTGAATTTTAGCGCTGTCTTATTACATATTGCTAGGCCCACCAGCGGCCGAGCGGTAAAGTCGCTGAACACTGGTAGTTCGGTCTGAGGTTCGAATCCCGTGGACGGTCTGGCTGCATGGGTGTTTTCGTGGTTTTCCTCATGTGTGACATGTATACGAGGCAGTTTACCTTAGAAAGTCCTCCACGAAGGCATTCCTCCCCTTAGACAGAGAGCCCTCGAGGCTTTGCCATAATCCCACACACACATATTACTTATTGCTGCTCCGTATGCTTCCAGTCATTTAATGCTTCTGGATCTGCTCTTGGTGTGATCAGCTACAGCTTGCAAATAGTCGGAATCATCCATCGTTGCAATCGTCTCCGATGCATCTTTGCATCGTTTATTTTCTCGAACCATCAAAAGTATTAGATATCCTCGTCTTCTTGAAGCTCTGCACTATTATTGTTCCATCTGTTTCGATTTATTTAATTACTGCAAACCACACTAGGGCTATCTCCCCATGGAGAAGGTGCCTTCGTGGGGGACTTTCTAAGGAAAACTAACTCCTATACACATATTATAGATGGGAAAAAAACCCACTAAAACGCCGCAGCCAGCCTATTCTCAGGGATTTGAGTCCCAGACTAAACTACCAGTGTTGTCGCTCGGTTATAGTGGTTAGGGAGCCTACTTACGGTATCGAAGGCCCCGAGTTCGAATCCTGGAGAAGACATGGATGTTTGTAAATGTGTAGTGTCCGTGCGTCATGGCAGCACTCTAAATAGGCGGCGAGCCGAAAGTACTGTCGTGTGGATTTGGTGGAAGGGGAAAGGGTGGGAGACCTCCGGATTCCCCCTCCCCCGTAGTGCTCTCCTTCAAAACTGGGGGGGAGAGGGAGAATAGAAGTGTTACCACCAAAGAATATGTATTGTTAAGAAGGAAAGCTTCGCAGCAGCAGAAGTGGCTCCCTCCGAACGAAAAGGGACACAACTGCGCATGCGTGAAATATCTGTCGCCAAAATGAGCCAAAGCTCGAAGCTGATGTCGAAGTTCCACCAGGTTCGACGGATCAAAAGTTTAAAGCTGTGTGACTCCATTTTTTTCCCCTACATATTGACAGATATAAAATCAGGCATCAAACTGCGATATGGATCATGCAAGTTCAACTAGTAAAGTAAAAAAGCACGAAAATTCGAGTTTAAATTATCGCGAAAAGTCAAAGAACGATTCATCTTAACCCCTGTTCCTCAATTTCCTGGAGGTGGAAAAATCTCGGCCAGGTACATCACAAAGCGGGAAATTCTCGCCAACAGGTTCCGTCGCCAAATCGCTTGGCGACGGAATTGTCCCTTTTTTTTCTAGCGGCGTAGAAGACAAACTGGTTTACATTACGTCTATGGAGCCTTTCCTTCTTTACATAGACTTTCTTTGCTACCACTCTTTGGAGCAAGTTCTGGCAACCATTGTTCCACATAATATGGGCAAGACAACAGCAACTACCAGTGTTCAGCGACTTTACCTCTCGACCGCTGGTGGGCTTGATATACTGTTTCATCCGTCAGAGCCCATGAAGGCCTAATTCATTAGCAAAACGAAAATGACCCCTATGGACACGAATCTTGTACTATAAATATGGAGCGAAAAATATGCGAGGACGAAGGAATACTTTGAAATATGGTATGTTATAAGATATTTCTCCCGCTTTCCTAGCGTGCCTTCGTGGTGCAGTGGTTCTGCACACTGGGCCGGTATTTCGAGAGGTCCGTGGTTCGATTCCTGGCGAAGGCGGTTGCTAATTTTTCATCTCACCGGATTCCAAAAATAACCAACAAATCACCACAGAAAGCAGAAATTATTTTTTCTTTCATATAAAATTTTTTTTATTATATTTAACTTCATAAGTGCAACGAAAATGCATGTGTATGTACTCCTGTTTAAAAAACCTTGAAATTTTTAACAGGTCAGTTTGATGAAAATTTTACGTTGCAAAATGTATGGGGCAGACTGCAGCCTAACATGAGGTCCATAATACAGTGCTTAAGTGATGACAATCACAAAAAAATCAAGTTTTCCAGATTACTGGATACTGGGCAGGTAAGTCCGATTTATTCTGAATTCCTTTGAAATACCATGCCATCTCGATTTTTAAACCACTTCTGCCTACTTTTATTTCGCGTTTTATAAATATTTAGTAAATTTTTTTTTTTTTTTTTTGGTTTTTTTCGTCTGTACTTGAAAAGAAGTTTTTATTTTTAACTAGGCATATTTCCTGATCTACTTCCTGTTCTTCTTACTACTTATCTCACTTGGAAGAGAACAAGGCAACGAATTTATCGTAGCCAAGAGCACAAGGATTGCTGTGTGCTCTTAGCTATTGTTGCACGTATACAGAGGCTGTTCGCACATTTTTTAGACGATTTTGGTAAGCGGTAATAAAAAATCGTTTGCTGCAAAAGAAGTAATTGCAATTGTACTATGTTTTTAAAAGTCAAAATTATCGTCTGTGGCTTGAAAGTTTTGTTTGTATTCAAAATGGCAAATTTAACAAAGTAGTGGTTCGAAAGCTACATTTACGCTCTTTCCGATGAGAAATATGCCTACTCCGTTATCCAAAAACGATGTGAGAGTCATGGTTTTGTGATATCTAAAGCGTCGATAGGTAATATCATCAACAAGAAAGTGAAAAAACGTCAAATTCGAGCCTCAAAGGGGACAAAAATTCCAAACAAGTATCCAAGGAAAAAACGGACATCTTCGACTATTGCAAAGGTACGTTGTTTAATGTTGAAAGAAAATCCCCCTAGTCAAAGGACAGTTGCAAAATCATTGAAATGCTCGGTGTCCACTGTAAACAAAATGATAAACGTTGATTTAAATCTTAAGAAAGCGAAAAAACGCAATGTGCATCGTCTTCTTCCAAAGCATATCGCTCGACGCAGGACACGCTGCAGAATTATATATGAGAAACACTTATCCAAAGAAAAATGGAAAACAATTGTCACAATAGATGAAGCATGGGTGTATTTAAATGATTGTAACAGAAAAAGAGCCATTTATTATCATGAAAGGCGAGAAAAAATTTAAGTACATGGTTCAAAGAATCGAAAGAAAGTTTTTCTAAGGGATTCATGATTGTTGCTGGTTTTTCTTATCATGACAATTTAAAAATAAAGAGAGTGCAAAAAAAAAAAAATGTCAAGATTAACTCCAAATACTATCAGGAACATATTTTATCGCCAATGTTTCTGAATGAAATACCATCGCTTTACCCACAGTGCCACCCATTTGTGAGACTCCATCAGGACAAATCTAGCAGTGACACATCAAAATCCACCGTAAATTTCCTAAAAGAAATGGAACACAAAAAACTGGTATCGAGGCCATACCCTTCACTGATATCCCTACTCAATCTCCCGATGTGTCACTTATGGATTTTTGTGCTTTCGGACTTTTAAAAACTGCATTATCCAAACGTTGTCCCAAAACCCTAACAGGACTCCGGAAAGCTGTTCGGGAGGAATGGGATAAAATATCTCTTCTGCCACTTCAAAAGGCATTATTATCCTGGAAATTGCGGTGTCGAAAGATAGTTCAGAATAAGGGATGTCAAATAGAACATTTAAAACACAAGAATTTTATGCAATTTAGTTTTGTGAATACAATGTACATCGTCTAAAAAATGTGTGAACAGCCTCTGTATTATGTGTATGAGTACATGATATATGGCGACCAGGACCTAAGCCTTGGGCAGCATATACGATAGTGGTCGCAAACTGGTGGCCCCCGAAGTAATTTCACTCTTCCCGCGAGCACATTTCCTTTAAATTAATTAGGATTATTACGGCAAAAACTTAAAGAATCCTCAAGATTTTAAGATAAATTACAATTAAATTTCGCTACGATTAAAAAAGAATGCCAATATTTCTCCGAAAAAAATCTAAAAAAAAATAAATAAATAAATAAATAAATAAAATGCAGCTATTTGACACTATGATATAAATTTTATTCGAAGATATGGAGATGTAGATTTCATAAATCCTTTTTATCAAACGATAAATACTCCCAATTACGAATTTTGGTAAAAAGATTAATCAATTTATTAGCCCAAAGGGCGTTAGCCTAGAAGAGCTATTAATTTTGTTTTGGCATTCTGTGGCGTTTCACTACAAACGTCTTTTCACTTTTCAAATTGTTGCCACCAAATTTTATCGCCCGGTATTATATTTAAAGAAATTAAATAATGAAGAATCTGCATAAATCTATGTACGTTTCTCGCATTGTGAAATAACAACGGTACATACAGCCATTAAATTCCTAATAGCGTAGTCCTCCACCCGAACATGGGCACCTGGAAGACCGAATTTGGTATTTGTTTTATTATCTATTTCATATTTTTTAAACCTTAACGAATTTTTGATTAAGAAACTCAACGATTTCAAAGTGATCGGTGGCAACACTCTGAACGGAATAAAACATTTTTATCTCCGACGCGCGAGACTGTGTATCGGAAATTCTAAAGTTTTGTTGTTTTTAATTTTAAATATTTTTAGCCCAAATGCTCTCGAAACTTGTATGTGTAAATGAAAAATATGCCCTTTTTTTCGTAATATAAAATTTGAATTTTTTTTTTAATTTGCTAGGACCACAGATTGATGTACGCTGCTTTGACTCATTTAAGTAATAAACTTCTTCAGTCCTTTGTTATTGAAAAATATAATCACGAATTTATTATTTTGCTGTAGGGTCCCAAGTTACCAAAATCCTCTCAACAATTCATGCAAGGAAATCCAGTATTTGCTCGAATACTCTTTATGCCTAAGGAAGATCAATTAAACCGTTTTGGAGCGTTTCAATGCAAGGTAGTTAGAAATCAAGTTGAAACGAAAATTATAGCCCTCAAACTTCCGCCTGCAAATTTAGGTAAGTACATTGACATTTTATACGGTGAAGAGACAATAGGTATTTTTTTGAAAGTAGGAGAACTGAAAAATTAGTAAACGCCTTCGCCGGGAATCGAATCACGGATCTCTGGAATACCGGCCCAGTGTGCAGAACCACTACACCACGAAGGCACGCCAGAAAAGCGGGAGAAGTGCCCAAATTTTATGTCTGTCTCATCCGTTCAAGAACTTGCATCTTTTCTCGGTGCTGTTCCACTTCGCTATTTAAAAAATTCGCATGTGCATAACTATGGTGGTAGGGGAAAAAAAAAAAAAAAAAAAGACATCACATGACTTTTTTTTTACGGCCGTATTTTTTGTTTCTCTTTATTTAGGCTTATTCCTTCCAATTATTCCAATTTAGTTAAACGATCTTTCGAGGCAAGTCCAAAATGACATCAAAAATTGCAAATTTTGAAATTTGCTTACGCTTAATTTTTGTCTTACGGGAGTCAATCTTCTTGGATTTTATTTTTTTATAACGAGTAAATAAATATAAGTATAGGAACGAAGAGATCATATTAAAAGTTAGATTTCGCTGTTTGTCCAATTTTTTTTTAATTTGACATTGGCAAAACATGATTATTATCGTCATTTAAAACAAACCTCCGTAATCGGGATTTCATGATTTCGACCAAGGACATGTATAGGAAATTTATAATCCTTCCAATAATTTTCCCGCATTATGCCTCTCAAAGTAGGTCAGTAAATATATAAAGAAAGAAACTTTGGAAAAATTGGTTCTAAATTTCTTTATATATCTGCTCACTCTGTTACTCGACTCGGTGAGCTCAGTTTTTTTTTATTCTTATAATTTGTAAATTGCGGATTTTTTGCTTTAAAAGTGATTGAATTATACTCTTCTTGTGTTCCGGTTAAGGTTTTTAAGCCTTTAGTTATTCTGCATGCAGTAGTTATAGAATTATCAACAATTTAAAAGTTGCTTAAGTGCGACTAAGCTTAATATAGCAGCCATATTTGCTTACATTTGAAACTTAGTAGAATAGTGAATTAAATCAGTTTCTTCACCTTTAGTGTCCTTTTGCCGAGTGGGGCAAAAAGAAACTTTATGTTTTGTACATCGAAATATTTGCCTTCTTGCCTGCTGGCCGAATTGCTTATTTTTGCACAGAAACTCTAATTTTAATTATAAAAACTGCTTTTTACTTCCTTTTACGAAGTAAAAGAAGTATTATTACCCCGAAAAATTCCGGGTACCATATTTCAACGGAAATATTCATTTTGACCTCTATTATGCAATTTAACGATGTTTTTTCTTGACATCTGTACGTAAGAACAGAATACAAAGACTTGTTTTCCCCAAACGAATTATAAAACTTATTTGAAATGAATTCAGAAAAGATTTTTCCGTTGCGTCTGTTGTAATATCTTGTTATTTAATAAATAAATATAATTATTGTTGAAGTGGCAACGCCATATTTCTCTTATGTAACCCTTGCTCAGCAACGTGAGATATTGTTTTAAAAAAGATTAGAGTTCTGAAGTTTTTATCAGCTAGTAGTAGTATGAAAGTTTTTCCACTAAAGAATTTCTTCAAATTATCTGTCTTCGTGAATTAGAAATAAAATTTATATTCTAATAAGAAGTTTGCCTGTTTCGTGAATTACTGCAAAATACATTACACTGTACGTATGTATGTATGTATCGCGCATAACTCAAAAACGAGTAGCCTCACAAAGTTCAAACTTTGTATGTAGGACTGTTATTGTATATAATTGTGCACCTCCCTTTTTAGTTGTAGTATACATAAATATGTATATATATACGCTTACTCTCTTACTCGGCTCGGCGAGTTCAGTTTTTTTTTTTTATTCTTATATGTTGGTAAATTGCACATTTTGCTTTAAAAATGATTGAGTTACTTTATTCTTATCTTCTGGTTAAGGTTTTTATGCCTTTAGTTAACTTCCACGCAATAGTTGTAGAATTTATCAACAATTTAAATATTGTTTAAGTGCAGCTAAGCCTGATTTTTTGTTTACCATAGCTGCCATATTTGTTTACATTTGAAACGTAGCAGAATAATGGATTTGTTGCCAATCTAGAGAAACTAAGCTTCGCAAAAACAAAGTTAACGTGTTCTTTATTATTGCGAATTAAATCATGAATAATCCATTCTGGTTATTAAAATAAAGTTTTTAAATTATTCCATATATTGACCCATTTTAGCGTCCACAACAAATTAAGTCAGTTTCTACGACTTCAGTGTCTTTTTGCCAAGTGAGACCAAAAGTCAACTTTCATTTGTGTGCACCCGAAATATCTGCCTTCTTCCCTGCTGGCCGATTTGCTTGTTTTGTGTAGAAACTCTAACCTTAGTTGTAAAAGCTGGTCTTTAAATTGTTTTATTGTATTTATGTTTTATGTTTTTCTACGTTTTTAAATTTTTAATAAAAATATTTTGAGGCTTTATGTATTTTTGCCTTGTCGGGAGGGGAGAACTGAATTAATTGAGTGAGAAATATATCTCTGATGAAAATTCGAGGAAATAAGTTTAAATGAAATGCAGCAAAAAATGCGCATAATTTAATATTCCGTACAAGGAAGTCATGTTTACAGAACAGATTTTTTACAACAGCGAATAGTAACAATTTTTCCCAGTGGAGGTATTCAGAACAGATCGTGATTGATATATCAATCACACAGATAACTTTATGGATGTACATGTCAAATATAAACAGTATAGCGAAAATGGCAAAAAAGTGTGGCAACACTTAGTATACTGTAAACATGAACATTGATCAACTAACTGCGGCACTGCACACACATTCGCCTTTTCGGCTTTAGTGTAGAATTGGGTGCCTATTCGATTAGCGACGATTTGTTTAAAATTTTGGCCATGAAACCTCACTTCTGGCTACCATGACTGTTTTAGCTTCCTGATTTTATTTAAATGAAAATAGATGTGTACATGGACAAATTTAAGGCAGCGTGCAATGCCTAGTTTGTGCAATTTTAGGATGTTTTATTAAGTGAAAACAGATCGATGTGTACATGGACACAGAGTTTGTGCAATTCTTTGACTTCTTATTTTGGTTTTGTGTAGCGGCCATCTTGAAATTGTGCCTTTCTGGCGCCTATCTTGGCGTCAAAAAAGAATCGCCAAAAACAAGGGGCACCCAATTGTAAACTTTTACCGCCTTTTCTAATGTAAGAAATGCTATGTTACAAAACAAGCACTTTTGAATTTTGTTGACATATTCCTCTTTCTTTATGTATGTAATTCTATATTTTAACTTTCTCAAATAATACTAAAATTGTTTCTTTCAGCTGAATTGGATGCTTTGTCTCCGTACAATGTAGCGAACTTCAGAGACAGCGTACAACTGGAAGTGAACGTTACCAAAAAATTAAATCTAACTGTAAAATGGCGGCATAATGGCGTCGAACTTCCTGAGTGGGACGATCACTTGAAAATTGAGCTGAATGATCTGAACGTTTCTGATTCTGGTATTTATGAAGCATACTATGAAGGTAGACGATCTTTGAGTCTTCATGCTCTCATGAGACTCATTGTCAGAGGTATGTCGTCATATATATCTTTTCAGATAAAAGAGTATTACCAGGAAATTTTATAGTGATGCATTATTTTTGAAACATTAATACATCGAATATAGAAAAATGTAATGCAATGACATTTTATCGGGAACACTAAAGATATGGCGTTTTTAAATATGCTGCGATACTTTTGTGGAATGTTATGTGGCGTAACTGGGAAAAAAGTGTTTTTAATAATAAAGACGTGTAAAATGTTTAATAATAAAAGGCATGTACTAAATGTGTTTTATATAGGTCATTTGTACCAAAGAAGGACATATTTCATATAGCTGTATTATATGAAGGTATGTACACTACGGGGGAGGGGGGAGGACAGTTCTATATCTCCCGTTCTACTGGGCCAGTTGACGCAATTCAAGGGCCAGACAGTTTGAAATTGAAATAAAATTAAAAAAAAAAAAAAAAAAACTAATGACAACTTGAATTATTATATTTAGGATATATATTAGATTTATATATAGTATCATTCTAACATAGGTATTTTGACACAAAAATCGGACTTTTTCTGAAATGGCATGCCATTTTTTTTTTTTTTTTTTTTTTTTTTTTTTTTTTTTTTTTTTTTTTCCCCATATTTCGGTTCTGCGACTCAAAATATGCTGAAATATCAGATTTTGTAAAATTTGGTGTGAAATTTACGGAAAAATCAGAAATTTAAGTTGGTGTATATTTGCAATTTACGCCAAGAACAGTTAGTTCACTTGGCGAACTTTTTAACCTACTTACCTTCCCTTTTTTTTCATTGCAGAGGAGCGGGAAAAAAGTCATCTTTCATACTTTCAAATAATTTTAACAAACTGCGTAAACTACATTTGGCGTTATTATCACCTATAACAAATATGCCAAATTTCAAAACGCGTCAGTATATAAATTCACGCATATCTTAGAAAATTTTGAATAAAAAACACTAATTTTTGCAGGTATGTTTAGAAATACATACGCTTTAAGATGATAGTAAACGTTTTTTCGAAAAATTTATAAAAATTATTTAAAAAAGCAAATTTTAAAAACAAATCATAAAAAATGAGCAAATTTTGTTTGGGCTGAACCCAAATTTCGAAATGTGAAAGAAAGAATAAAACAAGTTTAATAAAAAAAAAAAAAAAAAAAAAAAAAAAAAAAAAAAAGACGGGTTATCAAATATATGCCAAATTTTAATTATCATTGAGGAGCTAAAATTTTGAGAGCTAATTTTTTAAAAACTACTCGTGCGATTTTTAGAAAGCTTGGCAGATTGGCATAATTTGAGTCGTAGAATCGAAATATCGTTATATCAAAGTGCAGTACGTATGTATAAAGGCCATCAGCCTGAAAGTCCGCTCATGCGCCAAGTGACAGATGAAAAGGTTAGGTTAAGTTAGGTTATTTAATTACGGCAAAGCCTCGAGGGCTATCTGCCTAAGGGGAGGGATGCCTTCGTGGAGGACTTTCTAAGGGAAAATGGTTCGTATACACGTTACACATGGGGAAAACCCCGAAAACACCCATGCAGCCAGCCCGTTCGCGGGATTCGAACCTCGGACCGAACTACCAGTACAGATGAGAAGGATATGAGGCAGTATGATACGATCACGTAGATTTCGGTATTAAAACTGCGATGTTCTTGAGAAAAATAATCATATTATTATCACTGACCGTCAAGATTTATAGCCATCAACAATTGTGTGTGTTTCTCTCATGTATGATTCTTTATGAGCTGTAAATATACGCAGGCAACGGAGATAAATGTTTACCACGTAGTGGTAGGATTCAGATTGAGCAGATTTTGCTAAATGGTATAGACCAGCGATTTAGCCGATGGTACGTGTACCACTGGTGGTACGGAAGAGAAAAATAAGTGGTACACAGAGAAACAAAATATTTTAATTACTAAATCCCAAAATTAAATAAATATGAAAATAAATAAGCAGAATGTTTTAAGTTAAATACTTCAACATTAAGAATACTTAAAATCATTAAGAATATTGAAAAGAAAACGAAAATTATTTATAGATAATTATTTATTTTTCTCTGTGATTCAAAATTTGGATTGCAAAATGTTTATTTAGTGAATTGTGATTGGCAAGTTTAGCATATTTAACTGATATTTTTGGAATGTTAAATGAATTAAGTTTAGGACTACAAGAAAGAAGTGTTAATTTGTTTACTATTAGAGATAAAATAAATGCAATGATTAAAAAAAAAAAAAAAAAAAAACTCGAGCTAACAATCAAATAATTGGATAATAATATTTTAAGCTTTTTACCACTTTTAGAAAGTAATTTCCATATAAGAAAAGAATTAGCATCTGGCATTAAAAATCATTGTTTTTCATTAATGAATAATTTCAACATGTATTTTCACAAGAATTATGAAAAAGAAAAATTGGAATAGAAATCCATTTTACTCAAATCTACCTGAAATTTTATCTCGGGAAGAAAAAGAACAATCAATAGGAATTTCCTGGGATCGAACACTAACTCACGATTTCAAAAATAGCACACTTGTTAACTTTTGGTTGAACCGAAAAAAGAATTTAAAGTTATTTCAAATTATTACGAAGCGATTAAGGATACGAATGCGAAGTTTGAAAGGCGAGTATAACACTTGACGATTCTTGTTCGAACGCTATTTTTGTGTCGACGAGTTTGCATCAGTCAAATTTTGATCTTGATTTGGTATTAAAAAATACATGACGATATCTATCATTTATATTTAATGAAAACACCAAAAAATATCACAGTAATAGAGACACATCGCAACGGCGAACCTACAGTTACATAATGTAAACACAGAAAAATTCTTTCGGCGCAACAGCGCCCTCTATACTATGAAAAGTTCCAACACAAATAAAGCTATTAAACTGTTATTGCTTTTTTGCACAAGGATTTTCTTCCATTTTATGTTTGGAAAATAAATACAGAACCAATTTTAAAATAGAACCTAATTTACGGTTAAAAATAAGTGAAATAAGTCCAGACATAAAGAAACTGATCTCTCTCTTAAACAGACCCAAATTTCTCACTGAATTTTAGAATTAAAGTATTATAACTTAAATTTTGATAATTAAAGTGGTAACTAATTTTTAATCTAATTATTTTTTATGAGTGTATATTTAGTACAAATAGCCAATAGGATGCGCAGATGGCAAAATTAATTTTTTTAATAATATTTCTATTGAAAAATTGAAATAAAATCTTTGAAAAATGCAGTGGTGATTTTCAGTTTTTGCTTAGATGGTACGTGCTAGTCAAAAGATTGAAAACCACTGCTCCAACGGCTAAACGACAATGACAAATGCTGTGACATTGTGAATGATTAGGAAAAACAAAAAAGGAACATACGCGATAAGTTATTAGCGCCCTTTACGCTTTGGCGTTATCAATAAAGAGGCAAGCAGCAAGGCCAGTTTTGGCTATCATAATTTCTCTCAAATTTACATTCGCTCCACCTACCGCTTTTCTATTGGCTGAGGAAAGAATGAAGGATTTTTGTGGTTTCCTACAGGACTATTTATCCCTGGGTTTCCTATCTCGCTTCGTCTACTGCAGACAAAATGGAAGTCAGTAACTTTTGTGACTCTAGCGCTGATTTCAATAAGAATGTTGTCCACAGTAATTATTAAACTTTCGTTTTGTTCCCCCATTTTAACAAACAGGGCTGTGGAGTCGGTGTCATGGATTCGAAATCGGAGTTAGGCAGATTTTGGGATAAAAGGAGTCGCTATTTTGATGGACAGTTTGAATTTCAAATGAAATGAAAGAGAATTGAAAAAAAAAAAAAGAGTGTAATGACAAACTGAATTAATATTTTTATTTATGGACCATTTTCGGTTTTTAGGGCAAAAACTATTCTTAATAGGAATTACTCTTAATAGGAAATTAGTCAAAAAAATATGTATTATTACGAATTTTGTACAGATAGATAATTTTAGTGAAATTATATGTGAAATTGCTGCATTTTTACTTTCCTGAACGAAGTAAAAAGGAAGTATTGTAATCGCGAAAAGTTTCAGGCAGCATATTTCAACGAAAATATCCATTTTGGCCGCTTTCGAATGAAATTTAACGATGTTTTTGCGTGACATCTGTACGTAGGGACACAATAAAAAGACTCTTTTCTTCCAAAAAAATTATAAAACAGCTTTAAAATGAATTCTGAAGAGAATTTTTCGGAGTGTCTGGACGTATGTATCTCGCATAACTCAAAAACGAGTAGCCTCAGAACGTTGAAATTTTGTATATAGGACTACTATAACATGTGTTTTAGCACCTCGTATTTTGGTTGCAATCGGCCACGCCAAACGTATATAAATAAATTTATATATATACCCACTCTGTTACCAGGATCAGTGATCTCGGTTTCTTTACTCTTATATGTTTGTACTCGTAAATTGTACATTTTTTGCTTTAAAAATAATTGAAATATTTTGTTGTTATCTTCCGGTTAAGGTTTTTAGCCTGTAGTAAATCAGTATGCAATATTTTTAGAATTATCAACAATTTTAAAGTTGTTTAAGTGCCGCTAAGCCTAATAATTTTTTTGATGGCGGCCATTGCTTGTTTACATTTGAAACAGCAGAGTAGTGAATTTGTTGCCAATCTAGAGAAACGTAGCTTCGCAACAACAAAGATAACGCCTACATTTATTATTGCGAATTAAATCATGCTTATTCCTTTCTGGAATGTTTTCGAGGAAATAATTGTTTAAGATTTACTTCGTAATTTTTAATGCAGATATTTTGAGTTTTTATGTATTTTTGCCTTGTCGCGAAGTGAGAACTGAATTAATTGAATGAGAAATACTCGATCGTCTGTGAAAAACTGTTTCTTTTTTGTTTTGTTTGCTTAATTTCTTTTATACATCGTTCTAGCTTTATTATAGTATTTGAATAGAACATGTGGCAACGATTGGATAATTCTTTAAATGATATAAATTTTGTGCATTCTGAGTTATAAAATGAACGAAATATAACACTATTAAGTGAACCTAGCGCCAGAGTGTCGCTATGGTAAACAAATAAAGTGAATTTTAAAGAATG